TGAGTTTGACTCGTGGCGTCGTTCCCTTTCCGAAATGGTATTTTGCGTCCTAATCGGAGCTCGGACGACAAATCTGCAAATTCCCACTACGTCCTTTTTCTAGCTCAAGCGATAAAATCTGACATTTGTTCTACATCAGACGTGGCACAATTTTAGAGGGTGAAAATCTTATCCGAAAATTTAATTACAAAAGATTATCAACATTAATGGTTTAAACTATAAAAAAATAGAAAATAAAGTACAATGAATAGTAATTGCCTTAGACTTGCCCTAGACTTTGCCCTTGTGGGTGGAGCCACAAATGCAAAGGCTGACACTATTCACGTGAATAGTGGCAGCCCTTGCTTGCCCTTGCCCTAGACTTTGCCCTTGTGGGTGGAGATGCTCTAAGCGAAACTCAGATTATAACCCTACTACTTCAAACAAGATGATTTGATACGTTTGTACATTAGACATTTATCAAACTAAGACACGATAAATTGTTTGGGCATGCCCTATCGCATTCTTGTAACCAGGACAAAACATTGTCAGTAGATTTTCCAGCTACATGAGGACACATCAAATTTTACAACAATGGGAGGGAAAAAGGACACTTAATATTAGAAGGGAGATTGGACTTACTGAAGCTTCAATGAAGTTTTAGTTAGTTTTACCTTTTTTGTGTACATATCTACTAATGAAGGGAGATCAGATTTAGGTTTCCATCCTCCAAATAGAGATCCCTTCAATGTTCTTCCAGTAAGAAATATTCCATAATGAGCTGTTACCTCCGGCTTCACTTTTGTCACACCAAGTGTAACCGTCAACCCCCATCCCTTCAAAGAAACGCCAGATACAAATTAGTGTGAACACCAATTATTTGAGATGCTCCCCTAAGCTTAGCACCCTGTGCAACCTATCGTACAAGAAATCATTACTGTTTAAGTCATGCCGCTGTCATATTTGAAAAGTGAAAACTGTTAACAAGTCTCTGCACTTACAGAAGCCTAAAAATATGTCAACATATGTCAGCAACGTTTTTCCTTGATCAAGAATTGCAATTACATATGTATGTGACTACGTGCAGGGGCATGTGAGGGCTATCAGATTCCTTTTCTTCTGCTCCTCCCTATCCCCCATCACCTCCAAAACAAAGGAAGCCTTTATATATTATTCTTTGCATTTTAATTGTGAAGAAACTTATCATGAACGGAAATTTCATTCCTCTATTACAACATGAACACAGACAAACACCGACATGCATACGCGAACCAAATTATTCTCCTGCTTCATGTGATGATGCGAGGGAGAAGGTAGAAGATGCTCTTTAAGGAGAATCCATGTTCAGTAACCATCAAGGGGTATCCATAAATAATCATATTTTTGGTATCAACATACATAGATAACTTTTTTCAGTTAGATGAATAGTCAGTTGATGCTTAGCTCCTGATAGGTCTGAATTTCGAAAAATTTAAACAGGATATTAATTCATGGATAAGTTCATTACTTTAAACCGAGGTTTTCTTCTTCTCAGTTACTTTAATGACTAATCTTGAACAATTGTTTTGCAAGAAAATTAATCCATCCGGAAAGAAGAAAGCATATCTGGCAGTGGCACAAACAAAGTTTTAATTTTTCTTGGTCAGACAGAAACCATAAGTAATAGTTAAACGAATTTTCCTAGCCAGATAATGATTATTTTCCTAGATGTTCAGTAAGTAGGAAACAAGAAAAAAAGAATTGAAGGAAAAGTAATATTGTTTTATCTCTATTTGTGTTGAAAAGAAGAAGAAAAGAAAGGGAGAAAAGAGGAGGACAAAATAAGAAGAGGAGAGTACCTGAGACTCCCAGGCAGTGATGTCACTGCGACAGAGAGAGGTGCAGGCGACTTTGATCCTTATCTCCATTGCCTGAGGCGGATTCACATTCACTTCCTCTATCACCAAAGGCTTTCCAGCTCCCCATGCCACCGCAGCTTTTACAATTTAAAAAAAAACAAAATAATACATGATTAATAACTATAATTAATCAAGCACCGAATTAAATAAAGGTTGCTGGGTTTTTGTCACTAAAATTAACTGAATAAATAAGAGAAATGAAATAAAAAAGAAGGTGGGGGGATTCTAGAGAGAGAGAGAGGGGAAAAGGAAGAGCCCAAAAATCAGATATTTAAAGGGGGGCAGAAGGGCACTTGCTGTATCTCTGCAATGATGATCTACTCACCACCTAAATGAGAAAAGGAGACGAACGAACAAGCGCACACCCTTAAAACGCCTCTCTCTCTCTCTCTCTCTCTCTCTCCAAGATGGTCACTGGAACCATATTCCTTTGAATTCTGCTAACCAAGTGGAGCCTTTGGTTCTGACGAAGACATAAGAGCAACCAATTGCACCACTAAGAGTATATCAAAATGCAAAAACTTTCACTATCTAGCATGTACTCAATCATCCATATATACAAGGGGAGAATGGAGATGATGTGGCTCATAGAATCAAAGCACGATAGGTCAAATGGAGGGTTTTGTTAAGCATATATATAGTGTGATCATCATATTTTGCTAGAATTGAAAGCTAAGTTTATAGAACATCTGTTAGACCAGCCATGCTATATGGGACTGAATGCTGGACGGTTAGAAACAGACATATTCATAGTTCCAGTAGGTACATATTAGCCAACTGTTACAACCAGCACAGTGATATGCACACCTCTATCTCTGTTTCTCTAACGGAATATTAGCCATTATTAGACACAAATTGTTAAGAGATCAGATTAAAATATTTGTCACCTTTTGAATCCTTCAAAATTGGAGATGTTTGCTGAATAATCTTTGCTATCCTTCAAATTGAAGGGTCATTGCCTCAACCTCAAAATCCTGGTTTTTATAGTGAAAGGGATCTCAATGAACTCGAAGTCGATCCTTCTTCTAAAGCATTTTCAGGTAATGAAGTCACAGTCCTTTTACACTAATGGAGGCTCGATAAATGATATTTCATGTTGGTGTGTTAATCTGGTGCTTTTGAAGTCAGTTTGAAAAGTTAAATATAATTAAGAGATTCCCAACCCATGCGTTAGCAAATGCACCCTCTAATTTTTTTTATTTGTTTTCTTTGGAGTTGAGGTGGAGTTCACACAACAGAAACACAGATGCGGATACAAGAACAAATATAAAAGCTTAAATGAATTAGATTTTTCACTTGAGGTGGTGTAATATTTCAAATATATATATTTTTTTTCTGGTCTTTGGTGGGTTGGTTTTGGGTTCCTATGCAACAGGAGGAGGAGACAAATCTTTCTTCTTCTTTTTTTTTCTCTCTCAGCAAACAAGAGGGCATGATCAAGTGTAAAAATCTATAACAGAAATGCAATATCCAAAGAATGAAAAGCAGTCCAACCAAGAAGAACCATCAATGGATTAATATTGAATGCATAAGAAGAACCAAACCAATCAATCTATTGCTTAACCAAAACAGAAATAAATAGTCAGAATTTGAGAGTGGGGCCTAAAAACCGAACCTTGTTATTGGCAAGACCATAGAAACTCCATGATAGGATAGATTTCCTTCCACTGAAGACAGACACCAAGTCAGCAAATTTTGAATTTTTTTTCTTCTGCGTCATGCCGTCAATGCGAAGAGAGAAGATAATAAGGTGGAGTTGGCAAAGGGAGGAATTGTCGTCGTTGTCGTTGGTGTGGTGAGGTGAGCATGTCGTTTGGGAGATAGCCAAGAGAGAAGAGAATAAGGCGGGAAACAGGGAGAGGAATGGAATTAGATGAATTAAGAGTCTCAAGATCTCTTCTTCTATGGACCTGAATTGTGCTTGCTTCGGCTTCCCAATCTCAATCGCAAGCTCAAATTTGCAGCTAAACTTCTTCAATTTCGGGTTTCAGACTTTCAGTCAATCGCAGTGTTCGGAAAATCGGCCTAGGCGGGCGGCTAGGTGGCTAGGCGGGCGCGCTAGGCGGCTGGGCGGGCCTCCTAGGCGGGTTGGGTCTTTTTTCGGTGTTGAACCCGGAGGACGAAGCAGTCGAAATTGAAAATCGAAGCCTGAGTTGATAGAGAAGCGAAATGGCTGTGACTGCGTCTGCAAACTCCGTCCTCTGCGAGTGCAAGCTTCGTGTTCGTTTGGATTATATTTAAAGAGTATAGCCGCACGGCTATACTCTTAAAATATTCGAATTTATTAATATTTAAAGAGTATAGCCGAACGGCTATGCTTTTAAAATATCCGAATGTATTTAGAAAGTACAGCCGTATGGCTATAACCTTTTAAATATACAATTTTGTCATATTATTTTAGGTTTTAGGGTGGGCTAGGGTTATTTCTTCAATTATTTTATTTATACAAGCAATATTGGGGAATGAGAATTTAAATTCTTTATGATACCTCTCATTCTAATGATTTCCAGCTATTAACCCATTGGGCAAGAATAAAAAATGAATTTTATTTATAACAAATAATACAGGTTAAACCCATAAATACCAATAATAAACGATATCCGCCAACATTTTGTGGATCAAAGGAATTCCATAGTATAAAATTGCTTGTGTAGCAATTTACTTTCTAAAATGTATCCGTTGTAATTTTGAACTAAACCAAATTACAGCCTTTTTTTCTCATTGCACTTGATGACCCTGCTCTTATGCTATGAGATATATCAATTCGCACAGTATTCTATGTAGATGAAAAATTGGATATAAAACAATCTAAAGAGACAACAAACGGAAGTTTGCAGTTCTATTTGGAAATTAATTGAAGGTATCAGAGGTCATATGACATTGATATATGAACTATTCTAAATGAGAATTCAAACAACATGTGTTAGATGAGAAGTAGCATCTCATTCTTAAATATAACATATTATTTCATTTGTCTTCTGGTTGTGCCTGTTGTTAAGCTGGTGCAACCAACATTCTTTCACCAAGAAATTTTTCCTAAACCTCAAAGAAATTTAGCTAGGAAAAATTTGGTGGGAAGGGAAAGTTAAGATGAGATATCGCTTAGTACGATCAAATAGTTCTTCATTCCTCGTCGCCCAAATCATTGAACGCATTGCTCAAATAATTGAGCATTTCATCCCACGTCTCCTCCACATGCAGATGAAATGAGTATTCATCAACAGGAAGAACAAAATTGTCCATTCCACAAAGAAATTCAGGAAATTCAGAACCTTTGCACATAAATTTACTAATATGAGACTCAAGCTTTGATATTTCATCGTCATTCTCATCGAATCCATAACAATCTCTGGCGTCCAACATCACCAGATCTTTGCATCCGCGCAACAACGTGACAAGACCATCCCGATTGACTTGTGCACCCTTCAAATTTAAGTACTTGATAGTAGGCATCTCATTCTTACATATGATCATCGCTTCCACATTGAGAAGTCCCTCAAGTCGTCTTCAATCTGTAAAGAGATTCTATCATACATCAAAAGCTCAGCTCGGTCATTTGTACTTTAGCCCAGCTCGACCAAGAGGTAAAGTCCCCATACGAGAGTTTTGTGTGGGGGGTTGCATCTTTTGGACAACTCTTTCTTGGGACCTTGGTTCCCCTTATCCCCACTTACATTTTGTGAATTTGGTATGCTAGCTGCATGCCAAAACTTGTATATGTTGCTTGTGTTCGTTATACCAAATACCAATTGGATCATGTTTGTGAAAAAAATGGGCACATCAATGTGCACCTAAACTGAGGCAAAAATCCAATATCATCGTATGCAATTCCATGCGCTTGCCAATCTGAAACTTGACCCATGCATATGCAATGTCTTTGGGTTTCAAAAATAGAAATCCATGAGATTCTGAAGGTGAATATGAATCTACCAAAACTTCATCAACCAACTCCAAACCCCTCCATTCCATGGGTGCCATGCCTAACAAAATTTCATGTATGTTGGCCAGAATTGTTAAACTCTGCTGCATTTAGCTTCATATAGGTTGCTTGAGCTGTATGAAAGATACTAGAGTGTGAGCTTACATAAGCTAGGAAGCTTATGTTGGTCATTGGAATAGAAGCTGGTATTCTTTTTGCCACTAATAATCTCCAATTGCAAGAACCCGAAGCTGTAGCCATCAGATTTTTCAGAAAACATCCCGCCCATGGCATACCCCGAAGACATATAGCCACAGCACAATCAATCGAGAACTGACGAAACTGCTTCTTTGTTTATAGTCTTGAGAAAAATTATACCATAAAAGTTAAATCTAAACGCCATGCAATGCAACTAATTTTTAGTTAATTATGAACACAAACAGAAGGGAATTGGAGTCGGTCAGGGTTTTAAATTGAAGTGCTGGTACACCTCAATTTCCCAACATGTTAATCCCAATGTTTGAAAAATCACTATACAGTAAGGGGGCGGCAGGCAAGGGCCTAGCGCCTAGAGGAGTAATACGCGAGTGCCTATGCTTTTTTTAAATAAATTATTAAGTATTATAAATTATAAATTTATACCAAAATCATGAAAAATAAAAGCATATATAAATTATATATTAAACAAATAGTATAATATTTTTTTGATTTAAAATGTTAAAATATTTATTTGTTATTTGTTACTTATTAGTGGTTACTTTAGTGATTTCATAATGCAAAATCCATTTAATGTTGTATTTTATGAAGCCCAGGCCCTTTTCTCTAAACCCTAAACATAACTCGCAACCTCTCTTCTTCTTCAATCCTCGTTTCTCTCTCTCCCTCTCTCGCCTCAGCGCCATCGTCATCTCGTCCAAGACCTTGGAGTTCCAAAATGGCCTTTTTTTTCTTCTCGGCGCCAGCACCCGCCTAGATAGCCTAGACCGCCTAGCCCCCGCCTAGCCCTCGCCTAGCCTGCCTAGCCCCCGCCTGGCCAGCCTAGCCCGCCTAGCGCCCGCCTAGACCCCGCCTAGCCCGCCTAGCCACCACCTAGGCCGCCTAGCGCCCGCCTAGGCCATTTATTCAACTCCATTATATGCTTTTATGAAATAGCCCTTCAGGTGACCTTAATTGCTCAAGGGGATGTTCCTCTGTCTATTGTAATGACGGTATGCACAACTCTTGGGGCAGTAGCCCAGCCTCCTCTGCTAACAAAGATATTGGCAGGGACTTACGTCCCTATGGATGCTGCCAAACTATCAATCAGCACCATGCAGGTTAAGTTAAATATAACAAACTTCAGTAATATTATATTATCCATCAGCTGGGGCTTATGGTCTCTATTCTGTCATCTGTAGGTCGTTGTTGCTCCAATTTGTTAGGTTTTTATATGCAGAGTGCATTTCCTGCCGTGGTTAAAATTGTGATACCTTTTGCACCACTTTTTGCTGTTTTGGCTGCATCACTGCTTGCATGTAGGTACATTTGTTGTGCATATAAATATCTTTTAGTTACTTATATGTAAAATATGATTGTCTTGCCTGTGGTTCCTTCCAAATGTGCTCTCTTTCTCAAACATACTAGATTTTATTTTGTGGGCCAATGTATTCTTTGAGAATATTGTTGTCCGTCTCAAAGCTTCAATGGTTGCTGTAACATTGCAGGCTGATCTGTCTCTAATGGCTCATGCTCAGACAGTGTTATCTAGAGAAATTGGGGTGGTTATTCTTTCGGTGCTGTTAGTACATATTGCTGGTTTCTTTGTAGGGTAAGTTGCCTTTAACTGTTGGTGACTTTAATTGTTAAGTGTGTTGTTGTGGAAAAGCTCAAGGTAATGTACACATTTTTTTTCAGTATGTAAAGATTCACTCCAATTTAAGCTAAAAAATTCTAAAAAAATTACGTTTTAGCCTTGTATTAGTGTATTATTACTGTTTGATTTAGCTTCAGTCAAGTTTGATATATAAATTATAGAGTGAAGTTAACTGTACTTTGAAAAAACAAAGTATTCATAATTTGTAAGCAACAGTTGAGAAACTATAGTTTGCTGTCGTTATGACTTCATAGCCATAAAAGCTATTGCAGTAAGAAAGTATATATTCAATCTTCTTTGTCTATGTGGATTTTAATTTGACATATGAAGATAGAAGCTAGTTTTGTATACGAGCATTGTTGGCAGTGTTTGCACTCATACAAATATTCTTTAAGGTTGTGGTGCTGTGCCTGTTTGTTTAGTTTGTTTTGGAGTTTTTGCGGTGCAAATGTGTGCAACTTGAGGAGTCTTTTTTCATCAAGGAGAGTCTTAATTTGCAGGTATATATCAGCAGCTGTTTGCGGGTTTAGAGAAGCACAAAGACGAGCAATATCAATTGAGGTATTAATCAAATTGGTAATAAAGATATAAAAATTCTCTTCTTAAATTTTATTGTAAGTCCATAGAAGATCTTCATTGTTTTATACTCATATTGAAATGTCGAAACTTTCATAAATTTTGGTGGGCATGCAACACTATTCCTTCATTTACATGTTCGACACTCGCAAGTTGGTATGCAAAATTCTTCTTTGGGTGTGGTTTTGGCACTTCTCATTTCACCTTGCCGATGGTTGCATTACCGGCATGCAGCATTGTCTGCCGTGATTATGAATATAATGGGAAGCAGTTTGGCATTCTTTTGGAGATATGTAGATCCTTCTGACTCCAAGGAGACTCCTACAGTTAAGGTTAAGTGACAACTATAGCACCCTTTCGAAGTTTTCCCTAACCTGGTAAATGCCATTTCTAAATTTCCTCGCGTACTTATGGAGTTCAGATTCTTTGTTTTTATTTTTTATTTTTTTATTTTTTATAATGTGAAGATATTGTTAACTAATAGTCTAAAACAATGTCGTTTGAGGTCACAATGACACTTCAAATATAAATAAGCATCCTATTTTATCATTAATATGTTATATGTACCTCTAGAATCTCATGGTCTTTTCCTTTAGCATCTTATGGTGCTTAGTTTTGAGCCAGATTTGAACTCTTCAATTGAAAAAAGTATAGCCGTGCGCCTATACACGGGATTTTTTTATATATAAAAATAAAGAGTATAGCCGCGCACCTATAATGGGGTCTTTTTATTATTTATAAATAGGGCTATACTCTTTACATGGATACTATTATCTTTTTTCCCTGATTTTTGTTTATCGATAGTTTAGAGCATTTTTCATTACAATTAGGCCTTTACACGAGTCTCTATTGTACCCTTTTGAATTTTCACTTTTCCAGAGTTATTAGCCTTATAAAAAATTTAGCATTTTCATGTTTAATACTCGTATTTTACACGTGCGTATGTATTTTTCATGTATAATACACTTGATTTTTATAAAATTTTCAATAAAAATAAGATATATTAAGAAATCGCATTGCAATATATTTTTATTGACCAATCAGAATTGTTAATTTTAAATATATAGAGTATATATATCGAAACTAGCAAATTAATATCTATAAAGTATAAACTAATGCAAATAGAAGGGTCGTTTTTTAATATATATTTTTTTAATATATACTATGGTTTTTTATATTATAAAAAACTAGTATAGCCGGTTGGCTATACCCTTTTGATTGGGCACTGTTGTGTCAAAACTTGTGTCAAAAATATAGTGCCCTGGCTCCACTTCCATACACACGCGCCTGCACACACACACACAAAAGTAGTAGTATCTATCTCTTTAGTACCCTCTCATTGCCACTGGCTCATAGCGGCTTAGCTAGAACAAATATGTTATTGAAAGCTTATTGACCATTGATTCAATATGTAAAATGTTACTACTAGTGTGTGGATGATGGTGAGGGTAAGGGTAGCCATTAGAAGGGAACATGCATGGTTTAGTTCCCCCAAGTCTTCTCAGTAAGTTATACAACACCAAACTCAAACTGTATATATATGCTCTGGGTTGGGACCGCCAAGTAAACATAAATAATTACCTGAGCCTCTAAATGGCTTTCAAAGCAAATAGAAGTCTTTACCACAGTCCACAGTATCACATAGAGATTCAAAATAGCCTTTAAAGTCGAAATAGCCATCTAGGACTACACATAGTAAATATCACACAATGGTCAAAAACGACAAAAAACACATGCTCTCTAAAGAATCTGAAAATTCTAGACTGGTTTCCCCTATCACTAACTCGCTAAGTGCATATGATTGAAGTGACTGTAATTGCATACCTTATAACACGTGCACATTGCAGTGGCATTTTAGGAGATCATTCCTCATGCAATTTGGAACTTCATGAATCTTTGTCCCAAATCTAAAGCACTTGCGTTCATTTGTTGAAAATGCTTTAAAAGTTCTAGTTCATTGAGATCCCTTTCACCATAAGAACAAGGTTTTTGAGGTTGAGGCAATCACCCTTCACCACTTAGCATTAGAACTGTAACTGGCATGCTCGGCTTATCTCCCGGGTTACGTTGCACACATAAAAGACCTACATGCATGAAATAATCTCACAACTTTATGTGGATCACCTAAGTCCCCTATTGATGTATCAAGCACTTCAATGAACCGGCCTTCCGTGTATAGCATCCATGCCTAAAAGAATTTATCAAAAGTTCAAAATCATTGTGCATACTTAAAAGAAGAAACAAAAAAAAAAGCAATGAGTAAATCCTATGTTTCTCTTCCCACTCGCTATCTCTAGCACCAACCCACCAAACTACTATAGACATCGGATTTTATCGAGTAGAACCCATCAATTGCATATTCTGAGGACATGTAACCATTGCAAACCAGTCAATCAAGAACTATGTTCATAAGCAAATCAAGTATACTATATGTATGTATTGGTTCTTTTCTTATATATACTTACTATGTTGCAACCACTTTCTTGGTTTTTATGAGCACAAAATAATTCATAAAAATTAATTACTATTTGAGAAGTAAGTTATGAAACAAATAATAACTAAAAACTAATTAGTAATTATATTGATTAAATAAGACTAAGATATATATTATTCAATTAAAAATATTAAAACATAATAATTACTATTTGTTAAGTAATAATTACAAATAAAAGTAATTAAAATAAAGCAAAGATATTGTTTAATTACAAAAAAGAAAATAAAAAAACATAAAGAAACTAATTTTATATTCCACAGAGCCGCCCAGGCCGCCTAGGCGGGTGCCTAGCGCCTAGGCGCCGCCTAGCCCGGTTTGTCGAAAATTTCCTTGTGATTCTTTATGTTGTGGGCTTGATCTTTCTTCTTCTGTTGCCTGCGTCAGTTCTGGTTTTTTTTTTTTTTTTTTTTTTTTTTTTTTTTTTTTTTTTTTTTTTTTTTTTTTTTTTTTTTTTTTTTTTTTTTTTTTTTTTTTTTTTTTTTTTTTTTTTTTTTTTTTTTTTTTTTTTTTTTTTTTTTTTTTTTTTTTTTTTAAAAAAAAAAAAAAAAATAATTTTTTTTTTTTAAAAAAAAAAACCCGGGGCGGGCGGGGGGGGGGGGGGGGGGGGGGGGGGGCGCGCCCCGCCCCCCCCCCCCCCCCCCCCCCCCCGGCGGGCCCCCCCCCCTCTCTTTTTTTTTTATTTTTTTTTTTTTTTTTTTTTTTTTTTTTTTTTTTTTTTTTTTTTTTTTTTTTTTTTTTTTTTTTTTTTTTTTTTTAAATTGATAGTGGAATGATATCTTACATAGGTGGTACAAAAGCTTAACGATGGGATAAAGCTTCGTAATGAGGAGTGGGAAGCGAAGGATGAACTATAAGGAAACTAAGAAATGAAAGATTGTTATCGGAGCCAAGGATATCTGGATCTGTGAAAACTCAAGCCGATAAGGTAATGCCTTTGGGCTTCGTTTTCTTCAAAACGCTTTTTTTTCTTCTATGTTTGTGGTACCCAATGGAGAAATCAAATATCTCAGTGAGTGTTAACTATGCAGATTGATTTTCTAGAGAGAAAAAATTCAGCAAGAATTAGCTGTTGCTGATTTTTACTCTTGCCATCAAGAACTCGAGGGGTTGTTTGGCACGGCAGACTGTCATAGACTGAACTAAATCCTAAGACTGTCTCGGATTAGCTCGGATTGGCTTAAGCTGGATTAAGTACTGACCTACGTTTGGTTGTCTCCAAGGCTTAATTTTGTGATCAATTACTAATTTTAGGACGTTAAATTTTGGAAATATTTCAAAGAGACATTGATACATATATATAGTAGTCAGTAGCCCTCTGTATTATTATAGCTACCTTTTCAACAAACAAATAGCTGCATGATGTTTGGGAAGTTATACTCTTTTGTTTTATGGGTTGAAAAAAAGAGAGGAAATTCATAACTTCTTTTCCTCCCTCATCAATCACTTATATGCATGACTTCACAACTGACGATTGCTGCCCAAAGTTGAACTTTTTATAAACATTCATTAAGTTAGGGACCTTTTTAATTTTATAAACGATCATTAAGTTGCTATTCTACGTACCTCTTCATCAAACAAATGTGGACAGAGGATCAAAACTCTATACATCCTATCGTGGCCATCCCAAGCCGGTGGTCCGGTGCCCCTTGCCTTTGGCAAATATGGTGGATGACCTTATGTGGGCACTTCTGATGGTATAATTCTCAAATATGAAGGAAAATAACCTAATGCTAGTTTTGTAGATTTAGGACAAGAATATCAAATCTAGTTATAGTGTACTGATCAATTTCATCATCATTAGTTGTCTTTGTTTACTAGTTAGTGATAGTTGAAGTTGTCTTGGTTTAAACTGGTCATTTCTTTCTAGTTTGCCCTTGTTTTACTGATCCTCTATTTGTTTTTTTACTGGTAGACTGTTTACCAGTACCAATAAAATCTAACTGATAGCTTTTAACTATTTACCAATACTGGTACTCGAAAACAGGCTCGACTTACCCAATAATATGAAAAGGCTCAAAACTAGGCCCTATAACGTGAAACTACTTAGTAATATCAAGTTGTCATGGGTATTTGAACCTAAGACTAATGATCTACAAATCAAGGCTCTTTTCTATTTAGTGGACTTTGTATCGATAGATCGGGACAATAAAATGTCAGGATATATTGATAACATGTCAATATGTTTTGTTATATATGGACGTGAGATTGGCAATGCTATTGACACCATTTTGAGTCACATCCCATGCTTATTTCTCATGTTCTTGTCAATTACTAATTGTGGACAGAAGAACATAAGTTTTTGAAGTTTTTGTTTAGAAAAACATAATCAAACCATAATCCTAATTATTAATATATGTTTTGGCAGGGGTAATACATTTTGTAATTGACAACAATTATTAACACACATGGAAGAGTTGCTACGTACTACTGTGGTTCTAAATCTGTGCCTTTGATTTTGGTAGACTTGCAGGAACACTTAAATTATACACACCAATAAAATTCACATGTGCAGATCATACATAGAGTGCCCCAGCAACTTCTTCAACTTGAGTGATGGATGAATTGCCGTATTGATCCAAAAGAATAATCTCATCAAGCACAGAGCCATCTGAGTCGATGAGAAGTGCATTTGGCACAATGAGCTTGCCCCTATGATTTATCAGTCTTGTTTCACGGTTCACCGCCACCTAAAAACCTCCCGATACGCTCCGTTTTATGTTGACCAGATGGTGATCAAAGTCGAGAATAATTTTGATGCGTTAGCCTTTGGCCCGGTGAGCCAAAACTTTTGGACCCTTTTGCCTGCGTATTCAGAAACCAGGACAAACGAGCCATTCATACTAACTGCGGTCCCAAATGCCAAAGAAAGCCCTCTTAACAAGACTCACTTCTTTTGTATCAAGATCGAACATCATCAACCTTCCCTTTGCATCGTGCCGAGCATTTGCCGCATGGATTTCTCTACAATGCAAGATGCATACAACACTTAGCTAAGAGTCCATAGTAAGCATCAGCAATGTAGAGCACGTGAATGATATTCTCCGTTCTTTTCTTTTTTGGTTCAACATGATTTTATTTTTATTTTTTTTGTGTTGGAATATTTAGGGCCCGTCTGGTAACGTTTTCGGAGAATGTTTTCTGAGAATATTTTCAGAGAATGAAAACAAGAAAACAAATTTGCATTTTCAGGAAATGAAAATGCGTCTGGTAGATTAATTAGAAAACATCTTTAGAAAACAAAAACAATGAAAACGTGTCTGGTAGAACAATTGTTTTTCAGGTGTATTTTTGCTAATTTCAGTTCTAATTTTTTTTAATTCTGATATTTTTAGAGGCTAAAATTATTGTAAACAATGAAAAAAATTTAAGCTAAAAAACTATCTTATCTCCTTTTTTTCTTTTTTTCCTTTTTCTTCTTTTTCTCCTTTTCTCTCTTTCCTCCTCTTTTCTTCTTCTTTTCCTTCACATGGCTGCTTCTTTTTTCTCTTTTTCTTCCTCTTTCCTACTTTCTTCCCCTTTTCTTCCCCAGGCCGTTTCTTTTTTCTCATTTTCTTCCTCTTTTCTTCTTCCTTTCCTTCCCAGGCTACACCCACTCCTCCTTCCTTCCATGGCATGAATCCCATACACCCACCCATCTCTCTCTCTCTCTCTCTCTCTCTCTCTCTTGATCCACTAATTAATGGTTGTGATGGTTTGATTGGGTGATGATGGTGGTTGAGTTGGGTATGTGGTGGTTCTTCTTCTTGTCTCTGTTTTTTTTTCTTCTTCTTCCTCTGTATTTTTTTTTCTTAATTTGCAGATCTGTTTATTTTGGGTCAGAGAAGATGGGTGTTGTTCCTGTTGGTGGGTTTATCGGTTGTCAAAAGAGAGAGCTAGAGTTGTTGATGGGATGCATTCTTGTGTCTTCGGAAAACACTGAAAATGAAATCACTGAAAACAACTTTTTTTCATTTTCAACTTTTGTTCACAAAGTCAGATTTGTTTTCAGAAAACGTTTTGTGAGGGAAAACGAAAACGATGCACCGAACGTGTTTTTGTGAAAAACAGGAAACAAAAACAGAAAACAGGCTCTAAAAACATTACCGAACGGGCCCTAATATTGTTTAGCATGAACCGATTTCATAATACGTGTATGTCAGGCGAGAAAGAGAAGAAAAGGAGGCTGGGTCAAAAGCGAAAAATCGAAACATCTTTTATATTAGGGGTAGTTTTGATTTTTCATGTGTCAGCTTTCAAAGTTGTTTTACATTTGGGCCTGTAAAGTCCAACAAATGCGCCCATTCAAAAGGTCTTTCTTTCTCTCTCCGCTTCGACTTACCACGTCTTCCTCTTAAACAGTAGCTTGTATTCAATAACAATTCAATATAAAATAGTTCAGCAAAAAGTCCAAATGAAGAGCACTAAAATGACATTCGTATCCCCCTTCGATGTTTGCTGGTTCCACAATTTGTATTCCGTAGATACAATGGTTCCATCTCTTTTACAGCAATTAGTCGGCCATGGCTGCAACTAAGTACTGGGCGAAGCGAACAAATTTACCTGCAATTTTAAGGCAAAAATAAGGAAACGAGCAGCACTAAAGCTGATAATAACTAGATGTTTTTCTTGTGTGTGCATGCGTGGAAGAAAGGGAGAGAGCAAATATCTTGAATTAGTTGGAGTAATGGGAGGGAAACAGAATAATCTTGGATACTAATCTTACATTTGTTGTTAGAATAGGCACTACAACAAACTCTCAACGTCAAGTTCTACAAACGAGCACGGATCAGGAATGTCAAAGTTGTTTAACACCTGAAAATACATGAAAATAGACAATTAAGGTAATTATTATATAATATGCTCCCCACGTTTCATTAAATAAAGAAATCCAACCAGAGAAGAATGAAAATTGTGCCAATATAAATTGACTAGTGTGCATATTTTGGATTATATCTTTCTGCGGTCCAGTTTTCCTAAGCCTAGAAGAGCCTTCGATGGAGATTAACAATAGTTTTCACCTGATTTTTATACTCGTGGATGAGGAAGGATTTCAAGATTGGGATTTCGAGAAATTAGATTGCATGAAAAACAGTCAAGTACATTTTTTTCACTTGTGAATGGTAATGCAAGAATGGCAAAATTTATAGGGCAGCATTTAATCTGTAGCTATAATCTTAGCACAAAATCAAGTGATGATACATACCTCAGGGTGCACAATGCCAAAAGTTCCAATGTGCTTCGCTTTATAGATGATGCTTGCTTGCCTACCCGGAAGAAACTCAGGTTCCTTCAGTAAATGTAAACAGAGAGTGAATGATTCATACAAACCTCCAAAGATATAGCGAAAGAAAAATGCAAATGAAAGAATATACTCACATCTGAAGGTTGTATGAAGTACCCAGTATGGTCACTGATAGGAACAAAAGCAGCACCAATCGCTTCCATAACTCTGTCCACCAAGCCATGAATCAACTGCATATCGGAAACCCAAGTAATAGGCAATTATTTATCTTTGTATAACATAGAGCTATCCAACATCCCAGTTTAGTAAATTATGAAAAAATACATATCTTCATACCATTTAAGCAAAAAAATTCATCAAAATTGTCACTAGGTTCTGAAATAGGTGACCAAACTGTGTATACCAGGTTTTGTATCGTACCTCGAACCCAGAGCTAGCACCACAGAAAAGAGCTGCTAGTTGGCGTTGATTTCTCGCACCAACATCTTTCCTCTCATCCAATAGTGCTATATCACCCACTTCGAAAATCTTCAACAATGTAAAGTGAGAAGAAATTTAAAAGTAAGCTTATAACATAAAGAAAATATCAAATAAGAAATAACATTTTCAAGCATTCTAAAAGATATCAAACTTAACAAACAAGATTATAAACTATCTGTTTGAGGTGGAGCGAGAGAGCGAGAGAGCGAGAGGCTTGAATAATTTTAGTCAATGTAAAGTGAATACATATTCATCCTTGCTAAAATTCCTTTTTAATTTATTAGAGGAAAAAAGTGGCAAACCCAAATGTGAAGAAATCATGCATAAGCAAGATAAAATTGTAACATATACCTTTATGGGTTTTGGATGATCTTTGTTGTGACCAACAGTTTTCAATACGCCAGGCATCAAACTGGTTCGGACAAGTTCAAAATCAGACGATCGAGGATTTCCAACAACCACTGCCTTCGATTTATCATCTTTACGATTTAACATGGCAAAATTTTCTCTCCACGACCCCAATATAAACGTCAACACCTCTGTAAACCCAGTCATTGCAATCTAACACAAAAGTTTGAGACAACATAAAAGAAGTCAGAATAAACCACACTTCATTAAGTAAACTATGGAAGGGTAAAACTTAAAACTGTTATTTATCAACTAAAAAGTTTTGTTCACCTCTAATTTGATATGGTCAGTGAGCTCATTCAAGGCTAGTGGTTTCAAAGATGCAGGACTTCGCTTTGGGATATTATTATATCCATATGCAATTGCAACATCCTAAACAAGAAAGAAAACACATTATTATAGAAACATGACAAAAGTTTTGATTTATAATCCAGAAAAATTGTTATGACTAAGTCTAAACCTCCATGACATCACAAGGATGAAGAATGTCGCTTCTGGTTGGAGGTACAAATACTGTGATATCGCCTGATATAGACTGCTCAGCATGCAATTGCATCCGATTCAACAAATCAGTAACCTACATGATAATAATAATAAAGAATTATGAGAAAATGATAAAATTGCAGTATTTCAACTAAATCTCCCATTCATGATAGTTCCTAGTTTAGATCAGAAATCTTTTAGTAAAACTTGTACAACAAAATATCAACCAACTCACATGCAATCAATAACAATACTAACCTTACAGCCTATCACTAAGCAAAATAATAACCTTATTCCAGACATCAGTAAGCAATATTAAAGAATATAGTAAGAATAGGTAATATGCAGTTAACCTTATTCTTGACATACCTCTTCTGCTTCCAAAGAGACTCCAATTGTACCATTAACGTATGATAGGGAAACATCCATGTTGTAGATTGATAAATCAGGATAGACACATGACTTTCCATCTGAATATATGACTTCAACAGGTTCAACCTCAAACTTTCTTTCACAATATGCTGAAAATGCTGTCACCTAAAAGAATATAAGTTGATACCATCATCCACTGATAAGTGAGAACCAAAAACCAGCAACTTAATGCATCATAAACTTCCAGCTTCTTACTATTGTGTTCAGAACAATCTTGGCCTTTGTCAAATCAGTAGCTGTACATTCTATGAAAACATTCTTTGTCTTCAAATTGATTGCTGAATGTGCACCATTAATAATGGGGGGTAAAGACAAAACAATTCTGCCAAAATAAACTTAATGTCACTCATCGAGACAAAGCCACAATATAGTAATAAATGAATGAAAAGAAAAAAAATTATCATACCTGTTGTGATCATATAAAACAGGAAACACCGGCGAGTTCTCTATTATGTGCAAAAACTTCTTCAGTTTCAAATCTGACTGCCAGAATACAGTGGTAAAATATGGATCAAGATACTTTACTTTCCTAATGTCATTCAAGAGTCATAATTACTAGGTCATACAAAACTAAGGAGATTCTGAACAAGGATGTGCATGAAATAGCTATTATTGCAATGGTTTCTAAATTGCTGATTCTAGTTTGGTCTAGACTAACTATAACACTTCCCCAGAAAGGGGGAAAAGAAAGAAAAAAGAAGGAAAGAAGAACAAAGATCAAAAAGCACCCAGTTAAGAACTCACTCTGTAAAATTCAATGAGCTCATCAGCTCTAAAGTTCTTCACCTAATATAGAAATCAAAACGACATGATATTAGTGCTAACAATAGCCATTAAAAATTATCTTCAAACTATTAAAAAGAGATACATATATATATATATATATTACAAAATCATAGTCATATAAACTACTAAACTGAGAATAGCGTAAAACTTATCAAATTACCTGTTTCAGAGGCACAAAATTTATACTTGAAGGTGGCAAAGCCTGAACATGGAAAGAAAATGTAAGTCAACAGTAGTATTGTCTTAGATATATGAAGTAGGATTTAGCAATCAACGAAAAAACATGAAAAATTATTCATCAACATGCATGTTGTATCAGGGGATCTTTGCCAAAGACAGAAATTTCTACTTTTCATTCCTAGAACTGAATGTTTCAGCAAAGGATCTATCACATGACCCCTTAAACAAAAAGGGAATGCAAAATACAAAACCATAGCAAAGGGAACATGTTACAAAAGCCCACCTCATATGTGAAAGGGGCTTGTAATGTATCCAAGTCATGAGTCCCAATGGCAACTAGGGTTCTTCGCCTATAAAATGAATATCAGATGTAAGCATTTCAAATGAGTAACCACAGATATTTTGGGCTGGAAGACAAGCAGTAGCTCTTATCATAACTTCATGCATTCATTCTGATTTGTCTTGCTATTCTTACCCTTCTAGCACTTAAACAAACTATTCCCTTTTCTTTTTTTCTTTTTTTTTGTATTCTTACCTTTATCTACTTCAAATAACCATATAAATTACTTCAAATTTATTACATAGAAATATGCCTACGCCACTCCAATGCAACATAAAAAGACGAGAAAAAAAATTATCAAAAAAATATTTTAGAGCAACAAAATACAGATGAGGTGGGGGCAACTGGGAGCATGCCAAGCTAAATCGGGAATCAGTGCTATGAGCCAGAAAACATTACCGGCAGATATTTTGATGAAGCTTGTCTTGGAGATCAATAAAGCTGTTATAACTTCCCTCAGTGAAGGTTACGCCTCTTAAAACAGCACAGACAACATGAGGGCGAATTGAAGATGTCTGCAAGTGGAAAAGGGGTCTATATGAACTAAACAGTATCACCAGAAAATAAAAAACATCAACCCTTTTCATATCATATAACTACCTCTGGTTTTACATGCATTTTAATCATTGACTCCTTACTAATGTTCGCCAACTTATATGTAGGAATCTCCTCTTCCCTACTGAAAACACGGAGGGCTTGAGCAAGCCCTTCAAGGCAAAGTAAATCATATCTGCATATAAATCAAATAACAAAGTTGTTCAACTCATTTTATATTATGTGAAAATCATACAGCAATTATTCTCATTCCTATAGTAACTCCTTGATACTCTGAACACAGCCTACCCACTTAGGCAGACAAGAACAGTACGAGATTTAAAATATTTGGCCTCAAGGGTTATGTTAACATTAAAATTAGAAACCAACCCATGAAATGAAATAGGATAAAACATCAAGTTCCAAAACATGCAATTAAGACAATTCTCAGTGCTAGTCAATTATAAGAAAATAAAAAAAAGGTACCTATTCGCGGGAACTTCGATCTTGTAAATAACTTCTTCATCTTCCTCAACTTCAGCGTCCAAATGCTTTTCTTTTCTAATAATTGCTTTCTCAGTTGTCTACAAACACACATTAACCATTAGAAGTTTTGGCATCGGAGAAATACAAAAATAAAATGAAACATGTGGAGAATGAAAAAAAATGCTTACGACGTCGTCCAGCTCGATGCCGAAGCTGAAGCATACTTCTTCAAACTCTTCCTGAGCTGTCAGATTCAATTCAAAAACACAAACGAAAGTGAATTCCTTATTGATGATATAAGTACATCGATGAGATGAAGAGTTAGAAATGGAACACTGAGAGCTCACTGTAAGTTCTTCCTAGTGCTGCATACAGACGATCCCGTCCCACGCTGACGGTAGGCATGGCGGACTTTGACTACTCTCTCCGATAGCGCACGCAGAGACTGCCACCACAAGAGAGAAGCAAAACCCTACGCTCTGTTTGAACATCGAAGGATTATTTGTTTTATTTTTTAATTGGGCCGAAGGTTGGGTTTGGCCCAAATAATGTGTGCATTTATAAAGCCCATCTAAGGCCCATAATTCCTTAAACCCTGGTGATAAAATGAAAAAACCCTAATGTGCAGAAGGTAGGCGAGACTTGAGAGAGAGAGAGAGAGAGAGAGAGAGTGAAAAATCCTTGTCTCCAGAAAGAAAGAAGAGGAAGAGAGAGATGGGAAGCGATAGCGAAGTAGAGAAGACGGCGCAAAAGGAGAGGGAGAGGAAGAAGATGCAGGCTCTTGCTCCCATAGCCAAACCCCTTGCCGGCAAGAAGCTCTGCAAGCGAACCCTCAAGCTTGTCCGCAGAGGTATATACGCCTACATACACATATACAATTATACGTGTATAAATATGTTATACATGTATGCATATGTGTGCAATCTGATGTTTTTTTTTGGTATCTTGTAGCTGCTGAGAACAAATGCTTGAAGAGAGGAGTGAAGGAGGTAGTCAAAAGCATAAGGCGAGGCCAAAAGGGGTCAGTTCTTCATCAAATTTCTTTTACTTTTGTAATTTGTGTTAGGCAATTCATTTGCTTGTCAAAAATACTGTATTGAACTGAAAGAACCCAACTTTGGTTACTGTAGGTACTTTGTTTTTCCTTGTATTTCTTCCCTTGTTTTATATTGAGTAATATTAGTTCTGTTTAGTCATTGAATCCCAGATTAGGTCAGTCTATCTGAAATTATGGGTAGAGTTAGAAGAAAACATCGATTTAGTGAGACATTACTTGATAATTGCATTGATGGTTGACTCATATTAGAAGGCTACGTTATGAGTGTTGTGGGGAGAGTTTTGAAGTAGATTCAAATAGTGAAAAAGGGCCTTCATTTGTCAGTCTTTGTTCTATGGATCTCGTGCAATCAATGTATGCATCTGATGTCTTAATCTGTTAGCTCTACTTCCTTACATTTCGTGGATCAGATGTGGCTGGATTTATTTGTATCATTTGTGCTGGAGTGCAGGTTATGTGTTATTGCTGGGAACATTTCTCCTATTGATGTGATCACTCATGTTCCAATCTTGTGTGAAGAGGCTGAAATTCCATATCTTTATGTGCCCTCAAAAGAAGTAAGCAGCTTATAATTCAATCTTTCTTTATAAAATTATTTCACATTATACGATATATTATTCAATGCGCGAGCTTTTGCACATGTTAGCTGCTTCATTGATCAAAGTATTCACTAATATTGGTTTGTCAATGTCTTCTTCAGGATCTTGCAAATGCAGGGGCCACCAAGAGGCCAACTTGCTGTCTTCTGGTGATGACCAAGCCTTCCAAGGGGGAATTAGGCCAAGAGGAACAAGATAAACTAAAGGCAGATTATGACCAGGTTGTAGGAGATGTTTCTGAACTTCAATCCTCCCTTTTCTGAAGGCTGGAAACATTTTACTTGCCTTTGTCCTGATTATCTTATTTGAGGTTATTTTCCTTTTTTTTAATCCCTCTGACTGATGGGCCTTGTACTTTGTTTTAGAAAAAATTAAAATGTGCTTGTTTGTGTAACTATTGAAGTGGAACATTAGGCATAGTTGGTTTTCTTTATTGAACTTGAGACCCCTGTTCATCACAAGTTAGCTATGAGGTTCCAAGGGACTCTGTTCTCTCTCTCTCTCTCTCTCTCTCTCTCTCTCTCTCTCTCTCTCTCTCTCTCTCTCTCTCTTTAATCCCTCTGACTGATGGGCCTTGTACTTTGTTTTAGAAAAAATTAAAATGTGCTTGTTTGTGTAACTATTGAAGTGGAACATTAGGCATAGTTGGTTTTCTTTATTGAACTTGAGACCCCTGTTCATCACAAGTTAGCTATGAGGTTCCAAAGGACTCTGCTCTCTCTCTCTCTCTCTCTCTCTCTCTCTCTCTCTCTCTCTCTCTCTCTCAGCTTGCAATATGGCTTTCAGATTTGGTTGATCCATATGCAATTCATCATTTTCTATGTTCTAGACTTATTATATATTTTGACAAAAAAGAGCACTTATCTTGGAGCTATGGCTTGGATGAATTAACTCAATTCAGACCATGTGTGTACCTGTGGATCAAAAGTGGGGCGTACCAAATGAAACTAAGAATTGCCAGAACCATTTGTAAGCGGAAATCATGTAAAATAAAACAGGTATAAAACTGGCTCATTTGGAACACTTCGACTTGTACTGCTGTGGTATTGCAACTGTCATTTTCAACACGTATACGGTATACGAACTATTTACAACACGGCCAGACCACACTAAATCGACCCTAGAAATCTATTTGGAGCACAGGGGTTTATAATATAAACAAGGGTGTAGCAGATTTTATGCTGAAAGTCAGCTGCTTGGCATGAAATTATTTTGGGGAAGTCAGGCTCCTGAAGAAGAAGAAACCTAATCCACCAATTGCCAGAGTAAGAATAACTGGGACAATTGAGTCAATATCAGTCACTCTTCCACTACTATCTGCTCTTCCTTGGCGAAGCCTTTCTCCTGAATATTCTCGCAGAAGATTGCTCAAATTGTCTATTTGGTGCATGATCTGGCGTTGGCTTCGTGTGATTGCTAGCATCTGTTGAGTTACTCCAAATAACCAAATAAGCATATCAGAAGGGAACAGAAAAGAATAAATCAATCTGTCACCACAAGTTTAGTTTTTCAAAAAATCCCACCTCTTCCATCAGTGGAGACTCCTTGACCAATTGTGATGACGACGAAGAATGGGGCAGTAGAGATCCTGCCAATGAGCCATTACTTAAGCCAGTTACAAAATGAGAAGTGGGTCCAGATCCAGTGCAGGCTTCAGCCTGCAAAGCCAAATTCTGCTGGCTAGCTGAAACTTTTCTGACTGAGAACTTGGAGTTGAGTTCTTCAACACGAGACGTAAACTCATCCATCCTCTCATTCAGTGTAGAAATTTGTTCTGAAAGTTGAGTTATAACCCCCTGAAATAATACAAGACAATTATTGGTAAGCAAACCAATGCAGGATGTGGAGTTTCTGCGCAGCAAGACCGAGGAATAGTTAACTCACCTGGTTTGAAAGTGCTTGAGGTGATTCCAGGGCTCTTCCATCAAACCTTCTACTGTTAACAGCAAGTCTTGTTAGCTTGGACATTGTCTTGTCCCTTTGATTTGAGAAAGAGTGTGATGCACCGCTGCCCAGTGAAAATATGATGTTAAAAGAACCAATCAGTACATACAAGCATGATCAGCGGGATGAAAGTTTATTGGTTATGACAAACTAAACAAAATGGTTGATGATATTTGGTCACTTTTTATGGTTTTAAGATCATTTTCTCTTCTAATTGTAATACCCTTTCAAATCCAAGAAAATAGCTGAAAATGAGTAGTACCGGTTGAGATACTTGGTTCTCCTGTCTGCTGAGGCTCGAGAAAGGGCTTCCTTTGGGCTTGAAACAAAATCATCATCTATGCTGAGCTTTGTCTTCAAATCATCTGGCAAGGCCTGTAGATTGATCGCATCAGGACCATGCAAAAACAGGACAACCCATGATCAATTGAGGAATCCATACCATGACATCATTTACAAGTTTCTCCAGCTGAATTTGTTCAATGTAAGTACGAGGAACATATGAACCGTCCAGATCGAGCTGCTCTGCGACATATTTAACATATAACCGATCCTTTCCTTGCACCTTCATACCAGTCCAGCAAGTCAGTGTTAAGAAATTCAGTATTGAATAGCATTTTCAAATGACATGAGTCAAAGGAAATGTTCACCTAAAACAACTACAGTTAATCTACATTGATATTTCAAAACCAGTGTACTAGCCTAAAACCCAAATGTACAAATGTTACGAAAATTACAATTTGAGATCTTTACCAAAAAATTCAGCAAAAAGGAAAATACAATGAAAAATACATCTGAGATTCATTAAGGGATAAAAATATAGTCAACACACTGTTAGAAAAAAGAAAAATGTATCACAAATTCCAAAACAATCTGAAAAGGCGAATGCATAAAATGGCATGATACCTGAACATATTGGCGATTAAGTTGCTCCAACCAATCAGTTTTCACGCAAATCTTATCATCACAGAAGATATGGCTGCTTCTTTTCAAGATGGATGCAATTGTATACCCCAAGGCCATGAGACCTCCAAGAAGGCGCACACTAACTTCAAAAGTTATTCGAGGTGATATTATGAAGGGACTATCCGTAACCCATTCCTGAGAGAGAGAGAGAGATAGAGAGAGAGACAGAGAGACAGAGAGAGATAGAGACAGAGACAGAGACAGAGAGACAGAGACAGAGAGACAGAGATAAACTAGTCAGAGATCCTTCTCTGGGACAAGCTATGATATTTAGACATAATGATCTGCCACCAAGCACATAATAGCAGAACCCTTTACAAAATCATATGGAAATTTTCACCTGCACCCACATGTAATTAAAATACAACCATGTATGCTGGATATGACTTTCCAGACATGTAAGAATGTGCTCCCCGTCAAACTTCCCAAGTCACAATCATCAACTCTTCGCCTTAAAATGTCCATTATCCAAATGATGAGCAAGCATATTTCTAAATGGAATCAGAAATTCATTTCACTAAGTAAAATAGCAAGGTGCATGTTTGAAATGGAAAGACGCATTTAAACTGTTACTTTGATGGACTAAGGAATAACGGGTAGACCTCAAGACATCTAGAGCTCCAAACTACCCAAAATTTTCAACTCCTTAAGTATATAAAATCTTAGGGCAAGAAATAAAAAGAACTAAAATCAGTTCCATAGAGAAGAAATAAATAAAGGAAGACAGTAGCTTTGGGTGAAGAAATATATATGTTTCCAAAAAGAGGACTAGCATGCACTCCAGCTTTCTCTTTTTAGGTCTATACCAGTTAGCCATACAACAACAGTGGCTGAGAAAGAAGAAGAGTCAAACACAAAGGGCAGGAAATTGGATAGTGATGATAATGACTATAACGAGGACAACAGGATCACACTAATGAAGAAAATGAGGTGTGGAAGTCTCTCATATCTAAGCAAATCCTGAAAATAAACCTTTGTTGATTCCTTTCTTTACTATTGGCCAATGATGAAAACACCCCTGATATACATATAGGCAAGGACACTGGTAAGAACAACTCAAATGCATATATAAGCTTGAAGAATATTTAGTTTACAGATTTCAAACCTCAAACATGAGATTGTATTTGCCATCCCTGTTCCTCATCCTTAGATACGATTGACATGCTTCAGGATCTTCTCCTGGTGGTAAAAGATATATGTCATAAGTTTCTTCTCTGGTTTCTTTGTGATCATCAGAAAGAACAGCTTTGATCTGATCCACTGTCACTGCCTTAATTGACTGCAATAAGAAACAACAGCCCAGTGAAACAGTCAGAAAAAAAACAATTATGGATGACCTGAAACACAAACCGGGGAAAAAGAAAGACCAAAGCAAGGAAATTTAGTAGCCAACCTTTAAAATATAAGTAGGGTTTTGAAAACCAGTGAAGGGATTGAACTTGTTGGTGATTTTTATATGTGCTGTCTGGAGATCTGGCTCAATAAAGGCCTTGTACATAGGATACACCTGTCTCAAAATTCTGGATGAGAACCACCATAAATCTTTTGTATGCCCAATAATTACATGTTACAAAGGCTGCTCTGCAAAAGTTCCAAAGGCAAAAAAAAATTCTAACACAGGATAAAGGGTTAACCGTTTCAGAAATTTGATGGATAATTTCTGCAGGCTCTTGGCCGGCACGTTGAATGTCCCGTAACACCCGTTTGACAAGGTCAAAGTGAACTCCACCAGTTATAGACACACGGAGATCTAACAAAGGCCGCAATCTCTCACTTAAGGCATATATACCCTCAATGAGCACAATACGGGAGCTAGGGACCTCTACCGTCCTGTTAGAAGCACCAAAATGACCATGAGTATACAACAGAATTAGAACACTATAAAAGCTATTATGTTATTTAAAAGGTATACCAAAGAAGGCCAGACATGATGAGCCTCCTTTAGTAATTACATTAAATCATCCCATCAAGAATCACAGAAACCAGTCAACACCAGAATTTTGGGCCTTTTTTTTTTCTCAATTCAAATGGAATTAGGATTGATGGCAAGTTAATGTGGCAAAGGATTTTCCACATGATGCAGAGATGCACTACCTGTAACCTATGCGAGAGCTAGACTTGAAATCATATACTGGAACTTCAACAGGATTGCCTGCTTTTAAACCATGTATGTTTTCAAGCATTGTGTCATAATCTGTCAGGCGTGGATCTGTTTCAAGACATTACAACAATTAGAGTTCAACCGTGAGTGCTCTGATGTATAATCACTTATTGCAATGATTGAACAATAGATCCAGAGACGAAAACTATAAACAAGGAAGTGAACAATCTTGGAAAAGGTAATGAACATAATGACTAAAAAAGAAAAAAAAAATCACTGAAAAGATGTGAAATTAATAACATGTGAACTCAACAGTGGATCCAATCCAAGTAGGAGTGGTTGCCTATTAGCATACTCTAGCAAAAAGGGGCTGCATGCTTATACAACTCGAAACAAAGGGATGCTTTATGTACTCAGACCTCCTAAATTCATTTATATCTATGACAATGGACTCAAAAGAGTGAAGATATTCTAATTGGGATATGGGAAAGACAAAAGTTTCAAAATAGGCTTCAATTAAGTCACCTCCGGGAATAAATTCAATAGGGACATTTTTATATTTTTGAACACCCCCACACTATGCTTAGCACAGCATGCTGATATTCCACATCTGGCACTCCATGCACCAGCTAAAATTGGAATTTCACTAGGACTCTGGAAAACCTATACATTTATCTTCAATTTCTCACAAGTCTCTTTATACCATGGTCTCCGCCAAACCTCCATACTTAGATGGGATTCCCTAAGAGTGAATGGTAACTCTTACCCTAAATTCTTAAGCATGTACTATGCTGTAATATGCCAATGGTATCACTCCAAGGTATTTCAGAAAAAAGTAACAATAATCACAGAACAAAGAAAGAAGCTGAAGGCTGAATGCAAAAGGCAAACACTCTAGCATCATTGTAGTTAGAGGAAAATGAGATCCTTTACCGTCGAAGTTGCCATCAATGATACGACTAGCATCATTGTAGTTGTCCATTGAAATAACAGCAATGCTGGGCATAAAGTTGAGTACTTTCTCCGTGAAAACAGTCTTACCAGCTCCAGAGGGACCTGCTACTCCAACCAGTATTATCCCATCATTCTTTTGAGCCAACAGCTGACATGCCCGGATAACTATAAAGAAACCTTTTTCAAATGACAGTATATCTTGAATTGGGACAATCTCATATCGATCACAGTCCTTTCTTTTAACAAGTTGGACCTGATCTCGCAAAAGACCAGAGCGCGGCCTCGGTGATTCAGCACCAGAAGTTGTATCTTGAGCCATTTAGAGCTTAAAAATCTATATTATTCCCTATTAGCTGCATAAACAAATAGCAATGGCAACACTTCAATTGTGCTTATATAAAGAAGAATCAAACAGGAAAGAAATTGCAGAACTTTGAACTCTGTAATTCTTTATAATGCTAAAAGGCAAATGTCCATTCTTTATACCGTTAAGTTAATAATTCACGATTCATTGATAATTACAAATTAACATTGATTCAAGAACTCCTTCCCAACCGCCAAAAGTAAAGAAATATAAAAAGGAAGTGAAAATTTAAGGACCAACAAGTACCACTCCGACAATAGTATATGAAATCATCAGGAAACAGTGACCCAGAAATTTAAATCACATCAAAGTTGAAGAATGCATGAAAAATTTGTTAGATTGATTGGTTCAGACAGAGTGGCCACACCTTTTTCAAGACAGAAATGGAAATCACAGCTGCAACTGTTTCTCTGAATTCTTGGAGTTTCTTGGAGACATATTGGCTGGTAGCGGATTCTGGGAAATTTTGTCGCTTTCTGTGTAATTCTTGTTATCTTGTGTGTAAGGTCGAAGAAACGAGATGACACTTGGTTAAGTCTGAGAGATACGCGCGAGAAAATATCAGATGCAAAAATTTATGGCATAAAACTGGCTGTAGTTGTGTAATATATATTTCTTTTCTTTTCTTCTGACAATACCGAGAGGAATTTATAGTCTTGGATTCGTTTAAAGATGGAACTTTGTACTGCCCTGAAGGGGCCACCGTTGATTTGGACTCAACCAATACAAGTTGAAATAACTAATACAAGTTGGAATAACTTCTCCTTTTTTCACAAATCTGGAATTTTCCTTTCTTTTTCTTGGCTAAAAAGTATGTGGCAGATGGTATCAAGGTCTTAAATATCGATAGTTTCGGAAACATCGGTGGTTCAAAAACACGGAAATATCGATAGAAATATCGAGAAAATATCGATATCGATAAAAATTGGATAAAAACCACGGAAATTATGATAAATACATGGAAATTTTTAATGAAACTTTAGAATAAATTTATTTAGTCAATCATCTATTATTTTGACACAAAAATTAGAAGGAAATGCATTACATAGTGGGTTTGTGTGATTTAAGTTGATTATATTGCGACCTGACAAACTCTGTGATTTAGAAAATTTGAAGTAATTAATGAAAGAGGATTAAACACCCCTTAGTAATTTATTTATCATTTTTTAGTACAATATTTTACACTTTATAAATTGCAAGATAAGATACATGAGTAACCTTATTTCACTGGACATGGTACACGTTGTTATATCTATTAATTTATCAAAAATTGAAAAATAATTAAAGATGTAAACCAACTTGATTTGTCATGAAAATTAGGCATTTTACCATGCTTAAAAAATAATAGTGAAGATTGAAAATTAACTAAGAACATAAATAAATTTATCCAATGGAGAATTAAATAGGAAATAAAGAAAATGATTATAGAAATTTAAGTAATTAAGCAACAATTTATTTCACGTTATTCATTGGACATGGTGCACGTTCTTATTTATTATTTATCAAAAATTGAAAAATAATTAAATATGTAAACCAATTTGATTTTTCATGAAAATTAGGCACTTTACCATGCTTAAAAAATAATAGTGAAGATTGAAAATTAACTAAGAACATAAATAAATTTATCCAAGGAAGAATTAAATAGCAAATAATGAAAATGATTATAGAGATTTAAGTAATTAAGCAACAATTTGAAGGAGAATTTAGTAATGTAAGTACTTATAATGAGTAATAAAATAATCAATAACATTAAATGGAAAAGAAATAAATTATGTTAAGTAATTAAGTCACATTTCCCACTTCCCAAGTACTTTCACGTTTCCCTACCTCCCTCTCCCACTTCCCAACGTTTTTTTATTTACTTTTTTTTGTCTGAACTTCCCAAGGTTGTAGATACATGCAACCTGCCTTCTCTCTCTCTTTTGGGACTTCACCCATCTCTCCCTTTCCTCTCTTTGTTCCGCGCCTTATATTCTTCTCTCTTCGCACTGACGACATGGCGCAGAAGAAAAAAAATACAAAATTTGCTGACTTGGTGTCTGTCTTCTGTGGAAGGAAATGATGAAGTTGTCTTATCATGGAGTTTCTATGGCCTTGCCAATAACAAGGTTCTGTGAATGGCATGCGTTAGGCTACTTGAATTCAAATTGATTCTGAAGTTTAAATATTTCTGTGAATGGCATGTGTTTAGCTTCTCTTGCTTTGCTTATTCTTTAATATGCAAATTGCATTTATGCTTGTACCTCACTGCCTGTGTTTTTGGTGGAGAATGTTAGTACAATTTTTGTTTGCTGCATTCCTCGTAATAGTGATTCACTATTTCAGAGTAGTCGAAATCCGTCTTTTGCCCTTCAGCTATCATTGTGTTGCTACTCATAACTTTATTAACTATATGAGTCATGACTTGCTGTTTAGTTAATTGGATATTCTTCCTTAACAGTTGCAGGTTTTTCTGTGTTGAAATGAGACTGAACATATAGTGGAATAAGTACAAATTTCATGTGAAAAATGCAGTCCAAGTGTTTGGAAGTGCAGCAAGATTTCTTTTTGAATGCTTAAATGTCAGGAATCAAAGTGTTGCTAACGTATAAGTGAAAGCGGCAATCAAGAACAGATCCTGTACAGGGACATGAGTGCCGTAATTCACTTTTTATTGCTCCCGATGATACTTCTTTAAGCAAACCACCAGACTGCAAGTTCATTTGATTGATAAGCGTTCCTCAGAAAATTACAACAGAAATTCTGCGGTGAGATTTTAGAAAGTTGGAACCTGTTCACTTTTTGTAGTTTGTTTCATAGGGACATATGTTGTATGTCAATCATCTTTATGTAGATAATTTAATAATCCATCCTTCCCTATTTTTCCTCTAATAATTTTGTTCTTGAAAAAAAATACTGAAAAGAAAAAAGTTTTAAGGGATTACCAGAGATCAGAATGTGCCCTATTCAACCGACCCTTGAAAGCGTATCTAGTTGAGATGAGCATTTAGATTTGGTTCTTTAATTTTGGTTTCTATAAAGATCTTCTCTTAGTTGACTTAGACCTATAATTTATTTTTAAGGTCATTGCTATATTCTGTCTTACCTGCCTCTTTTTCTTGCAGGTATGCCATGTTGTTTTGTGTGCTGTGTTGGGGGTAACCTGAAGCACTGTGGAAAATGCCTTCAGTTGTATCATCTCCAATGCCTAGATAAACCCCATAAGGAAAAGAAACACATTGAAGTGTCCGGCACAAGACAAATACCAATTAAAACCGTTCCGACAAGTCTTGATGAGGTTCCTTCCCAAAGGGATGCATATGGGAATAAGTCTAGTGGCAAGAAAGTAGGCTCATCTTCAAATGCTAATGCTGGAGCATTGGTTGATGATAATAATGTTGGAGGGAGGTTAGTTTCTCAATTGGTGATGAATTCCGCTGTAATTATTGCTGATTTTGTAAGACAAAAATCATCAGCAGCAGCAGCAGCATTTGAAAGAAAAAGCAGCTCTGGATGTGATGGTAGCTCGCCAAGATTGAATACATCAAACTTAGAAGACACTGATTCATTCTCTAGAAATAAGTTAGATAAATTCGGTGGTGATTCAGCTTGCGTGAAACAAGTTGACCACCCCATTGATTACTTTCTGCCGAAGGAATAAAAGAAAAAAGGATATGGATGAGTCTAATATACAAAGGAAATCACTGCCCGTGGAAAATAGCTGCTCATTGATAACCAAATTGAATAATTCTGTTTGTACTAATACCAGTTCTTATGAAGAAACTTCCCCTGAAAACTGCTCAGTAGATCATGAAGCAGATTTGAAGCACTCCAGAGAGGTATGTAATATGAAGCCTATCTTTTGTCAATTTTGGAAATAATGTATCTGCCTATGAGCACAAACACAATCATGTGAAATGAGAAATAGAAAATAAGATGCGACATGGAAAATACATTCTCATTTACATGTATTCTATAATAATACATATGTATAAAAACAAGGTCAGAATAAAAGGTACATAATTGTTAGTGCTTAGTTGCCCTCGAGTGGCTGACTGACTCCACTATTATGTACATTCTTAACCTGATACTTCATTTCTGTATATGTAATTTGTAATCACCGATCTAATTTCTTTGCTACGGATCTTTGATTTTACATATGCTCGTGCTGGATCTGCTGCCGCTGAACTAAACTGTTGGTTCACATTAACTTCAGAACTTATTGGTTTCTTATATTTTAATTGCTTACTTCATTCATCGGGACAGTTTGATGCATGAAGAAGAACAACTTCATGATGAGGAAAAGACAGGCAGTGACGCCTTACAACAGGCTGGAGAAGTACTTGGCCAGAGTGCTCAAAGTGCAATGGATGTTGAAGTTCTTTGCATGGATCATTTAAGAAAAAGTAGTGATACTAGAGATTCCTCTTTTGAAGTTCTTTGCACGGATCAATTCACATTGTGTTTAACTTATTCATTTTGGACTAATTGTTTTAGAAACTTATTCTTCAATTTTTTTTGGCTGTTGCATTTGTTTTTGTTCCTAGGACTATGGTGGTTCTAATCATTCTGCAAAAGTATGGCCAGCAAATGGTTGTACAGGTGAAAGGGGAACTGGGAGGTCTGCAAAGAAACCTGGTGAAAATTTCTTTTTGTTTTTTACTTTTATGAATTTATTAGTCGCATTACAATCATTTTGATGTGCTAGATAAAGGAAGGACTGCAAAAGAGGAGGCATCCAAACGTGGGAAGGTTCGAGAAATACAGAAAAAGCTATCTTCCATGCTTTAAGCACTTGGGGAAACGGCCATTCTAATATTTGAAGAGTATAGCCGCGGCTGTATTATTTAATTATTATATTTAAATGGTACCGCCGCTCGGCTATTCTCATTAAGTATTGTATTGAAATAGTACAGCCGCTCGGCTATATACGTAAAATAGACTATCATAACAGTGTATCCGCTCGGCTGTACTCTATAAGCACAATTCTTGAAGATATAGCCGAACTATAGAAACTTTTAGCTGTGCAGCCGCTCGGCTATACCCTTTAAATAGAATATTGTAACAGTATAGCCGGTCGGCTATACGCTATAAATAGAAAATTTTCACAATATATTCGTTTTGTTTATCTGCTTTTGTCTGTTGGCCATATATCCTTTACTCCTTTCTCGTCTCTTTATAAATTTAATTTTATTGTCTCAGAAAAACAAACGTGATAGTTTTTTGTATCATAATAGGTTTACCATGAGTTGCAAATCTGAGAGGCAATTTGCTCCAATTCTATATTATCGTTGGTGTGGTCATCAATAACTGATTTTATGGAAATCTCACTAATTATGTTTTGCAGCAATGGCAGCAGAAACTTGATCCCGGGTACAATGTAACAATGTGATGCAAACGTTACTAAATAAATACATAAAACAATCTATACAAAGAAACTGTATAGGAGTAATCCAGAGGACTCCTATGATTTGAAATAACCTTACTGCCATTAAATAGCAGTACGGTGATCCTAACAATATCAAAACTACATTTGGATTGGATTGGATTGGATGAGAACCAACCCGCCTTTTTTGGTCTCATAACTTAAAATGAAATATTCACAATAGAGACACTCTTCTCTATGATTATGGGGTTGCCCGTCTGGGGTGACGGCAAAGGAATCACAACTTTTACCTAAAAATTATTTCACTGATGTAATCATATGTATCTTTTGATTGTAAATAGCAATGGCTAATTTGAAATGTTTGATTATTGTAACGTCATGTCCAGCAGATCAGATGCCAAGTCAGGTCCCTTCCTTCAGGAAGAGATCATGTCTTTGGAAGGTTTGGAACTCCTCACTAAGCATGCAGAGCATGTTGAGTCTGCTCCAGAAACGATACCAGAGGCATCACCTCCTGTCTTTCAAGAGAAGAAGCCTGCAGAGAAAAAACCTGTTAAGCCAAAGTGGGGGTCATCTCGAGCGGGTATCAAATCGAGTCGTGTATGGAGTCATGTCGGAAATTGTCAACAAATAGAAAATAAATGTTTTCAACTAGGAATATCATTTAAAGAAATATTTTTTTTATCTACTACTGGTGGTTAAAAAAGCATTAAAATTTAACCTGGAAAATACAAAACTATAAACTATAAATTAAAAAAATTAAAAAATTAAAAAAGGCCCAGTCCAGCCTAGGCCGCCTAATAAAATTTGCACAATATGCAATTAGGAGATGTTTAGATTACCTCTGCAGAAAATTCTGAGGCTAACACTCCGTATGAAGTGATTACAACATCACTTTGAGCTAAAAGTTTTGCATCCTTCTGCCTACTTTGTCCATAATGAACATATACCGATAAAGATCCAGGTTGCGCATGAGTTTCAATCTCTGCCTGGCAACAAACTCAAATGTTTATATTAACTCCCAAATATAGAATCCTTATCACTGTGCACGTAACACTCTGATACTGGCGCAAGTACCAACTTTCAGAGCAGGTGTAAGCATGCAGAACTGCAATTGGTGTTCTTCAAAGTGACAAAAACTACCTTCCACTGGCCTAGAAGAATCATAGGACATATAATCAAACTGCCACCATCTGCAAGGGTGTTTTTTCGCTTCATAAACTTATCAAATCCTGAAAAGCTCATGACCTTCTTTGGTAGGTTTGATGGGGAATGGTCTGAAATGTCACTAATTTCAATATCTTCACTGGAGGACTGGCTTGTTGGGTGACTACCTGATAATCCATGTCCTGAATGAGCAAGAAGGAGTGCTATTGTCATAATGGTCTTCCCCAAGCCCATAGAATCAGCCAGAATCTTCAAATGCACGATAAAGGCAATACAATCAACACATAAAAATAAAGTTTGAAAAAATATTTAATTAAGGTTTGAGCCAACTTGAGACATACTCCTCCTCTGGCCATTTGAAGTGTGCTTGGAAATTCTGTTGTTGCATCCCCAGAAAATGCATTCAAATAGATAACACGGTCTCTCCTATATGCAAAACACCCCAATAAATATTGAATCATAAGGTAGCATAATCCAAGGTTAACAGCCCAACATACTTGTCTCCAAGACGATATGCCTCCCAACAAGGGTGAAGAGTCATTGCTCCCTCATCGATGCATTGTCCTTTTTCCAGTTGGATCATCCAATGGAGAGCCTGCTTCTGGTATGGACGAAGTTCACACTGAAGTGTGCTCGGAGGATCCATTTCCTGAAATACAATACTTCCTTGGTGATTTTTCAGCTCTATTCTGGAGCAATCTCCATGCATGTAAAAAGATGCTTGCATAAGTCACAATACCTCTAGCTGAGAGCTGTCTCCAACACCAACAATGTTATCAAGGTCAGCATCTGAAATGGAGTCCTCATTTTCAACTTCACCTCCATTTCTACCAGGGTTTTTAGGCTTATTGGCAAGTGGCATTGGGGTACAAAGCCCAGAAGTGTCTTGTTCAGGTAAAATTACGCATTTAAATCCTGAGAACATAATTATGTCGGGTCATGTCGGAAATTGCCATCAAATAGAAAATAAATGGTTTCAACTAGGAATATCATTTAAAGATTTTTTTTACAATAATGCTACTCTTACCACATTTTGTATACCACATCCTATACCACCTTATGTGGTAGCTGAGGTGGACAGCCACATCAATTAAAATTATTTCAATTTATTATTTTTTTTAACATTTATCAATTGGCAAAAAAGAAAAAGAAAAAAGAAAAGGAAACAAAAAAACCCTAGCGAACGTGAAACCCAAACGTGAAAACTGGTTCTCCCCTCCTCCTCTCCGTCGTTCCACTCCTCTTCTACAGTCAGCGTCTCCTCTCGCCTTCTTCATCAGCTATCCTCCTACACCATCAATTGGCACTCCACTGTCCCTACTTTGGTTATTGGTGAGTATATATGATTTTTTTCTTTTCTTTTCTATCAATTCTTTTTTTGATTGGGATGCTATATTTTCATGTTCGTTCTCCTCCATTGATGACTTATGGTCATTCGCTGTTGTTTCTTTTCATGCCTTTTTAAATAATTTTAACCTTTTTTTTGTTCTGAATCAATTAGAACCTGCAAGTATGAAAACATAAGTCAAAAGCTTTTACTCTTTATGATCTATGGATAAATTATCAAATTTGAGTCATAAGATTGATTCATGATCCATAAAAGAAAATTTCAAATCCTGATTTGTTTATATTGCTAGGATAATCAATGAGGGTGCAAATTGAACGGAGATATCCATATTTCCTCTATATACCTATCCAAAACAATCCTCTGTATATTTTATTTGTATATACCTATCCATGACTTGTCAAACTGGGGAATGTTGTGTTTGTCTTCCTTGATTTTTCTTTTTCTGAGAGAGGGAATTTTTCTATCATGTTACAGTCTTCTAGGTTTGTCAAAATTGATTGGCTCTAGAACATGTTTGGAATTCCCTGGTAAACATTACTGAAGTTTTCTTATAATTTGATTGAATACTTGGGCTGTTTTTTTTTCCTCTTTGTCATAGTTTCTCTCATAGGTTTGCTTTACTTCATATTTGTATGCAGGGACAAAGATTCGAAGGTTGGTGATCCACCTGGGAAGCTTTCAAGCATGAGGTCAAACGGAGCAAATGGCATTTTTCATGGCTTTGTCTTGATCTGTAATTATTCCACTCGGAGCTTGCCCAGACATACATGCAAGCCAAGATTTAAACAACCAAATAAATGTTTCAGTGTTTTCATTTGAAATCAATCCACATCCGAGTAAAATTGATTGACCGTGATGATTGACACCCACAAATGGAGCAAATGGCATATCATACTTATTAGTCAAATATGTTGTGTCAAACGTAACAATATCACCAAATTCTTCATACGCCGCCCTACTCCTTGCATCTGCCCAAAACACATTTCTTAAACGACAATCTTCATCTAAATCAATTGCATAGAAAAAATTTGAATTCTGAGCCTGCTTATTTGTAAAGTACTTTAGAATTGCTGTAGCATCTCCTTCCCCAAGTCGTAAGCCCCTAACCTTTTCAATATAATTTCTACAATCCTTCTCTAAACATTTCATGTTCTCATGTCCGCCCACTTCAACCACCATTGAATTATAACTTTTATTCAACCTTATTCCAGCTTTGTCATTCACTTCAAGTTTTTTTTTAATATTTGAGCTAATTTCTCGAAAACACTTCCAATGTCGTGTTTTTGTTGGACTCAATCCATGATTATGATCAAGCCTTACAGAGTTCACTTTCCACTTTCCATTCAATAAACCTGCCCTAAGTTGAGCCTTGCAATCATTCTTTATACTTGGACGAGGTTTAAGAAAATTACTTGACTTACTTTTTGATTTGCCTTCTCGAGCACAAGAAATAGTAACATATTTCAAATTTCCATCATCTCCGTTTGTTGATGATCTCTTTATCACTGGAAACCCCGATTGCCTCCCATATTGTTTGTAATATGTGATCACCTCATCAATACTGTCAAAAATCATTCCAACTTGAGGGTCTTGTACTTTCTCTTCAACACTCATTACAGTGTCATTATTTTCAGTTTCATCCCCATTATTTTCCTTTTCAATCCCATTAAAATTCATTTCAACTGCATCATCATGTTGATTATTCTCTAGTCTTGCAGAAGATTCTTCCATTCCTAAAATTTTAAAGTATAAATAATTTACCTAATTTACCAGAGCGCATACCAAAAATAAAAGAAGCCATACTAACATAATTTTCAAGAATGCAAGATCAGAAACAAAGTTCTAATTGTTGTACTAACGAAAAGAATTACCTTGATCAATTGGGCTATTGTTGTTGATATGGCTAGTGTCCTCTGATTCATTGGCTGATATTCTTGTGCCCATTATCATGCTTCTGAACCATTGAACTAAATAAAAGAGTAAGTTATAGTAATTCTAAATAGAAAATCCCAATAAAAAAAAGAATCATAAATACTCACCAATAACAAAAGGAGGGACAGTGGAGTGCCAATTGATGGTGTAGGAGGATAGCTGATGAAGAAGGCGAAAGGATACGGTGACTGTAGAAGAGGAGAGGAACGATGGAGAGGAGGAGGGGAGAACCAGTTTTCACGTTTGGGTTTCACGTTCGCTAGGGTTTTTTTGTTTCCTTTTCTTTTTTCTTTTTCTTTTTTGCCAATTGATAAATGTTAAAGGAAATAAAAAATTGAAATAATTTTAATTGATGTGGCTGTCCACCTCAGTTGCCACATAAGGTGGTATAGGATGTGGTATACAAAATGTGGTAAGAGTAGCATTACTCTTTTTTTTAATATCTACTACGAGGGTTAAAAAAGCATTAAAATTTAACTTGGAAAATAAAAATATTAAATCTAAAAAATTTAAAAAAAAACCAAAAAACAAAACAAAAAACAAAAAAGGCCCAGACCCGCCTAGGCCCTTTTTTATATATATAATAATTATTATTATTATTGTTTTTTTTTCCTGATGATTCAATCGCCTTTAATTTGTGGTGATACACTGGAAATCGCGTAATTGTTTATAGTTGGCGCTCTTTCTTTATCACCAAGCTCTCAGAGCCTCACACCAAAGCTCCTGAACATAGCTCTACACGGAGAAAACTATCGAACGAAATGTTTGGCTGCAAGCTCGCCAAGATTTTTGATAATTTTGAAGAGAAACCAGTAGCATCTGGAAGTATTGTTCAAGTGCATGGAGCTGGTCAACAGCTGAAGCCCATAGTAGTTGCCGTAAAGGTTAGGCATCCTGGTGTTCGTGAATCGATCTGTAGAGATTTTGTTATAATCAATATGGTAGCAAAAATTTCAAACTTCATCCTGCTGAGTGTATGCAGCAGTTACTGGAGAAAGTTAGGCGTCATAGAGTTAATGTCGATGGCAATGTCTGTACTGTCATGGTAACCACTTTGGTTCATGAGGTAATGTATTCTTCCTTTATCTACTGCAGCTGAAGCATGGAAATTCTCTTATGAAATTCTGTAATGGCAACTGAAGCAACTTATCAACACAATCATGCAAGTCTTGGAGGCCACTTAGTTTGTAGCATATTGATGATGAAGAAGATGTGGAGGCAGCCTCAGAAGACCTCAGTCTACACAAATGTTCATCAACTTCTTGAACGATCAGGTGTGGCCTTGAAGGGAAACTGTTAGAGCGTGTGTGGAAAGCCATTTCTTCTTTGTGCGTAGTGAGAAGATAGAACATAAGACTTTGAATTTGGACAAGAGATGAAGGACAGGAGTGATTCAAACACTGAGAGAGTGACTGCCTTGATATCTCTCAATGTGCTAACAACGGCAATAGTCTCATTGTCCTTGCTGAGGGATGAGAAACTGGATCCCTTGAGATTTAGCATGGCCTTGTGGATTGCCTTCTTCACCATCTTCCTTGAGGTCAAGTATTTCCTGACCTCAGTTGTGAGTGCTCCAAATTCACCTCCTCGCGTTCTTCGCATGATCGATTGAAGGTCATGTACACATTCCTTGGATTGCAACAGGGCATCCTTGGCACTGCTACAAACATCCAAGAGCCTGAGAGAACCATCTAATAGCTCATTAGTCAATTTCTCATTCTGCTCTTGAGCCAAGTATTGTTGAGTGAGGGCAACTGAAGCAACCTGTCAACACAATTATGCAAGTTTTGAAGGCCAGTTAGTTTGTGGCTGATTGATGTTGATGATGTGGAGGTCACACATCCTATTGTACTCTAGCACATCTTGTGGTGCTTAGTTTTGAGCTAGATTTGAATTCTTCTACTAAAAATAGTATAGCCGAGCAGCTATACTCGGGATTTTTTAGACATAAAAATAAAGAGTATAGCCTTGCGTGGCTATACTCTTTACATGGATACTATTATCTTTTTTCCACAATTTTTGTTTATCGATAGCTTAGAGCATTTTTCATTACTATTAGGCCTTCACACGAGTCTCTATTGTACCATTTTGAGTTTTTACTTTTCCAAAGTTATTAGCCGTATAAATTTTTTAGCATTTCCATGTTTCATACTCATATTTTACACGTACGTATGTATTTTTTATGTTTAATACACTTGTTTTTACAAAATTTTCAATAATACACATAAAATTCACGTATTATAAACCCAGTTTTCACATACGATTCAATAAAAATAATATATATTCAAAAATTTAAATCTATAAAGTATATATATAAAAACTAGCAAATTAATATCTATAAAGTATAAACTAATGCAAATAGAATGGTTTTTTTTTAATAAATCGTATAGCCGCACGGCTATACTACGTTTTTTTATTATAAAAAATAGTATAGCCATAAGGCCCTTTTCTAAACCCTAAACATAACTTCGTCGTCATCCTCGTTTCTCTCTCTCTCTCTCTCTCTCTCTCTCTCCAGTGCCCGCCTAGCCCCCGCCTAGCCTGCCTAGCCCCCGCCTAGCGCTCGCCTAGGCCATTTATTCAACTCCATTCAATGCTTTGTATGAAATAGCCTTTCAGGTGACCTTAATTGCTCAAGGGGATGTTCCTCTGTCTATTGTAATGACGGTATGCACAACTCTTGGGGCAGTACTCCTGACTCCTTTACTAACAAAGATATTGGCAGGGACTTACGTCCTTGTGGATGCTGCCAAACTGTCAATGAGCACCATGCAGGTTAAGTTAAATATAAGAAACTTCAGTAATATTATATTATCCATCAGCTGGGGCTTATTGTCTCTATTCTGTCATCTGTAGGTCGCTGTTGCTCCAATTTTCTTAGGTTCTTATATGCAGAGTGCATTTCCTGCAGTGGTTAAAATTGTGATACCTTTTGCACCACTTTTTGCTGTTCTAGCTAGCTGCATCACTGCTTGCATGCAGGTACATTTGTTGTGCATATAAATATCTTTTTAATTACTTATATGACTGTCTTGCCTGTGGTTCCTTCCAAATGTGCTATCTTTCTCAAACATACTAGATTTTATTTTGTGGGCCAGTGTATTCTCTGAGAATGTTGTCCGTCTCAAAGCTTCAATGGTTGCCGTAACATTGCCGGCTGATCTCTCTCTAATGGCTCATGCTGAGACAGTGTGATCTGGAGAAGTTGGGGTGGTTATTCTTTCTGTGCTGTTTGTACATATTGCTGGTTTCTTTGTGGGGTAAGTTGCCTTTAACTGTTGGTGACTTTAATTGTTAGGTGTGTTGTTGTGGCAAAAGCTCAAGGTAATGTATACATTGTTTTCAGTATGTAAAGATTCACTCTAATTTTAGCTCAAAAATTCTATAAAAAATTGCGTTGTAGCCTTGTATTAGTGTATTGTTGCTATTTGATTTAGCTTCTGTCAAGTTTGATATATAAATTATTGAGTGAAGTTAACCATAATTTGAAAAAAGAAAGTACTCATAATTTGTAAGCAACAGTTGAGAAACTATACTTTGCTGTCATAATGACTTCATAGCCATAAAAGCTTTTGCAGTAAGAAAGTATATATTCAATCTTCTCTGTCTATGTGGATTTTAATTCGACATATGAAGACAGAAGCTAGTTTTGTATACGAGCATTGTTGGCAGAGTTTGCACTCATACAAATATTCTTTAAGGTTGTGGTGCTGGGCATGTTTTGTTTAGTTTGTTTTGGAGTTCTTGCGGTGCAAATGTGCAGCTTGAGGAGTCTTTTTTGATCAAGGTGAGTCTTAATTTGCAGGTATATATCAGCAGCTGTTTGCGGGTTTATCCCTCTTGTTGCTTAGGCAACTTAAACCCTCAACATAGTGAGGTGTGGGGTGAAAGGGGCCACCATTCTCTTTCTTTCTTCAATCGTTCCGATCAGCACAAGTGGGTTGGTTCATTTCGTCCTTCTATCTATGCAATTCTCTGTCTTCGTTCCCTAAGTCCGAGTTTTTTCAGCAATCACCATTATCTCTTTCTTACGCATGGCAGCAATATAATAAAAGAGGGTCTGCCCGCCCCCAGAGGAAGACCTTTATTTTGAACTAATATGAGAGTATCCATTATTGGTTCTTTGCTTGGTTGATTGAATATCTCTTTCCTTGCCTACCTTAGTCTTAATCCGCCTTTAGGGAGTGAAGTGAACCAGGGGTGATCTAATAAGTTGTGAAAGAATCAATTGAGGTATTAATCAAATAGAATGTAAACCTTACGACATGATCTGGCTTTCTGTGAATCCTTGTGTTCCAGTTTTGTTTCGGCTTTAGTCAAATTGGTAAAAAATCTACAAAAATTCTCTTCTTAAACTCTATTGTAAGTCCATGGAAGATCTTCATTGTTTTATGCTCAGATTGAAATGTTGAAACTTTCATAAATTTTGGTGGGCATGCAACACTAATCCTTCATTTACATGTTTGACACTTGCAGGTTGGTATGCAAAATTCTTCTTTGGGTGTGGTTTTGGCCACTTCTCATTTCACCTCGCCGATGGTTTGAATTCTTCTATTGAAAATGGTATAGCCGAGCAGCTATACTTGGGATTTTTTACACATAAAAATAAAGAGTATAGCCTTGTACGGCTATAATCTTTACATCGATACTATTATCTTTTTTCCACAATTTTTGTTTATCGATAGCTTAGAGCATTTTCCATTACTATTAGACCTTCACACGAGTCTTTATTGTACCCTTTTGAGTTTTTACTTTTATAAAGTTATTAGCCGTATACAAAATTTAGCATTTAAATGTTTAATACTCGTATTTTACACGTATGTATGTATTTTTCATGTTTAATACACTTGTTTTTTACAAAATTTTCAATAATACACATAAAATTCACGTATTATAAACCCAGTTTTCACATACTATTCAATTAAAAAAATATATATATTCAAAAATTTAAATCTATAAAGTATATATATCAAAACTAGCAAATTAATATCTATAAAGTATAAACTAATGCAAATAGAATGGTTTTTTTTTAATCTATACTATGGTTTTTTATTTTAAAATATAGTACAGCCGTTCGGCCCCTTCTAAACCCTAAACATAACTCCGTCGTCATCCTTGTTTCTCTCTCTCTCTCTCTCTCTCTCTCTCTCTCTCTCTCCAGTGCCCGCCTAGGCCATTTATTCAACTCCATTCAATGCTTTGTATGAAATAGCCTTTCAGGTGACCTTAATTGCTCAAGGGGATGTTCCTCTGTCTATTGTAATGACAGTATGCACAACTCTTGGGGCAGTACCCCTGACTCCTCTACTAACAAAGATATTGGCAGGGACTTACGTCCCTGTAGATGCTGCCAAACTGTCAATGAGCACCATGCAGGTTAAGTCACCTTGAACCTGTTCTGCTTCAAACAACCAATCTTTGTCCTCGACATAGAGTAATATTTGAGGGGTTTCTTGTATACCATTTCAGTTTTGTGCTAGTAATGGGATGATGGGAATTTGTCTATATATATAAAATTTTCATTTCCTTTATATGGGTTCGATGTTCAGCAATTTTGTTTTTCTTTCTCAAGTGTGTTACATCTGTTTGAAGACTTCTGTTCACTTCTTCGGAATAAGTTGGGAGAGAGCTACGTATATATATATATATATATATATCATGGCTTGTAGCACTCCAATTATACCAAAGGACTTCTTCATGAAAACAGACCAAGAACAGTCTGGAGAAGACGAAAATAAAAATAGTTCTGGTTTTGAAAAAGTTAAAGAAATGCACACAAAATTTTAATTTTCAGGAAATAATAATGTACATTCTTTCAAAATTTACTTCCTTTCCACTATTGTTTTCTCTGTTTGGTTGGCTTGAACGAAAATGTGGATGAAGACAAGAATTTCAAGTTTTTTTGTTGTTGTTGTTGTTATGAGATCACTAAAATTGTTGTTATGTTGAGATGAATTCTTCAACAAGCATGGATTTGAGATTGTTATTTTTATTAATTTTTTGTATTCCTTGGTTTAGGAGGAGACCAAACAGAGGGTTTGGTTCTGTTCTTTGGAATAATTTGATATGTTCTGTATTTCTAAGTATCTTGTGGACTTTGTTTTGGCATTGTTGCATTTATAGTAGTAATGGTGATCTCTTCATTTTGTCATTTATTCTCCCATTTGTAACCCTTGTCCTAAGATTTTCTGATTAGTCTTTCTTTTTAAGAGGATCTAAAGTTTCTGATTTTTGTGATCTCTTAATTCATTTTTATTTTTATTTTTTGGTACAAAAAGAGGGAGAATTAGAAACAACGCG